CAAAGAGGTCTGTAGATTCATTGAAATCCCTATCAAAATAAAAACAATTCTAAAATTTATATGGAACCACAAAAGATCTCAAATAGTCAGAGGAATCGAGAAAAAAAGAATAAAACTGAAAGCATTACACTACCTAACTTCAAAATCTATTACAAAGCTATAGTGAACAAAAACAACATAGTCCTGGCATAAAAAATAGACACTTTGACCAATGGAACAGTATAGAGAGCCCAGAAATAAGCCCATATATTTGTGGTCAATTGATTTTCAACAGAGGTGCCAAGAAAGAACTAGTATAGAAAGAATAGTCTCTTCAACGAATGATGTTGGGAAAACTGGATCTACACAAACAGAGAATGAAATTGGACTCTTATTTCACACCATAAACAAATGTTAAAGTGGATTAAACACTTAAACATAAGACCTGACACTGTAACACTACTAGAAGAAAACAGGGGAAATGCTTTACAACCTTGGTCTAGGCAAAGGTATTTTTAGATATGACCCCAAAAGCACAAGTGCAGCAAAATATAAATGGGATTACATCAAACAGAAAAGCTCTGCACAACAAAGGAAATAGAAGAGTTAAGAGACAACCTGCTGATTGGGAGAAACTGTTTTCAAACATAAATCTGATGAGGGGCTAATATTTAAAATATATAAAGAACTCAAAGAACTCAATAGCAATGAAACAACCCAATCTAAAAAAGGGGCAAAGAACCTACGTAGACACTCTCAAAAGAGGACATACAAATGGCCAACAGATAGATACATGTGTATGTATATACTCATCACGGATCATCAGGGAAATACAAATTAAAATCACAATGAGGTATTACTTCATACCTCATTGTTAGAATGGCCATTATAAAAAAGATGAAAGATAATTGTCAGTGAGGGTATGGAGAAAAAAATGCTTGTGCACTGTTGATGGGGATGTAAATTAATATATTCATTCTGGAAAACAGTATGGAGGCTCCTCAGAAAACTAAATAGAGAATTTATATTATCCAGTAATCCCGCTTCTGAGTATATATCCAAAGGAATTGAAATCAGTATGCCAAAAGTATATCTGCATTCTCTCTGTTCACTGCAGCATTATTCACAATAGCCAAGATATTGAAACTACCTAGGTGTCAATCATCAATGAATGGATAAAGAAAATTTGGTGTGTGTGTGTATGTATATACATATACGTACACACATATATATGTAATATTGTAATGGAATACTATTTGGCCTTAAAAAAGGGTGGAAATAAACAACATGGATGAACCTGGAGAGCATCATGCTAAGTAAAATAGGCTAGGAACAGAAAGATAAACACTGCATAATTTCGCTTACATGTGGAATTTTAAAAAGTTGAAATCATAGAAATAGCGAGTAGAATGATGGTTACCAGTAAGTAGCTGGAAGAGGGGGATGGATGGAGAAAGGGGAGAAGTTGATCGAAGGGTGCAAAGTTTCAGTTAGGGAAAATGAGCTTTAATGATTTATTGCACAGAATGGTGATTATAATAAATGATACATTCTATATTTGAAAGTTCCTACAAAATTGGACTTTAAATGTTTTTGTAGTAAAAAATAAGTATATGAGATATTTGTTAATTATCCTGATTTAATCATTTTATATTGTAAACATACATCAAAACACCATATTATACCTCATAAATATATATAACTATTGGTCAGTTAAAGAAAAAGAAGTGGGAGGCAGCTAATGGGAACAGGGCTTGCTTTTGGTGGTTGCATAACATTGTGAAGGTTCTCAATGTCACTGAATTATATTCTTTTTTTTTTTTAATATATACTTTAAGTTCTGGGGTACATGTGCAGATCTGGCAGGATTGTTACATAGGTATGCACATGCCATCGTGGTTTGCTGCCTCCATCCCTCCTTCACCTACATTAGGTATTTATCCTAAAGTTATCCCTCCCTAGCCTATTCTTTAAGATGTTTAATTTTGTGTTGTGTGAATTTCACATCAATAAAAAAAGATGGAAAAAATGAAATTAAAATATAAGCAAAAGACTAGAAGAAAATATTGGAAATATGTATCTGATAAAGATTTGTATATAGAATGTACAAAAAACCTTTACACCTTGAAAATAATAAGATTTTAACCTTACCACAAAACATCGAAATAATTGAATACTTTACAAAGAAGAAATAAAAATGGCTAATAAGCACATAAAAGATGCTCAACATCACTTGTTATTAGCAAAATGAATATTAAAACCACAATGAGATATCATTTCACACCCAGTAGAATGGCTATGATAAAAAAGATAATGAAAATGTCAATGCCAATGTGGAGAAATGGGAACCCTCATACATTGCTGGTGGGAATATAAAATGGCACAACTACTTTGGAAAACATTTTAGTAGTTCTCTTTAAAAAATTAAACATAATTTAATGTATGACCCAGCAATTCTCTTAGGTGTCTATCTGTGAGAAATGAAAATATAGGCTGGGCATGGTGGCTCACACCTGTAATCCCAGCACTTTGGGAGGCTGAGGCGGGTGGATCACCTGAGGTCAGGAGTTTGAGACCAACCTGACTAACATGGAGAAACCCCATCTCTACTAAAAATACAAAAGTTAGCTGGGCGTGGTGGCATGCACCTGTAATCCCAGCTACTTGGGAGGCTGAAGCAGGAGAATCGCTTGAACCTGGAAGGTGGAGGTTGCAGTGACAAGATGGCGCCATTGTACTCCAGCCTGGGCAACAAGAGTGAAATTCCGTCTCAAAAAATAAATAAATAAATAAATAAATCCACACAAAGAATTATATACAGATGTAATTAATATGATTTTCCGCAATTAGATACAACCAAATATTGGACATAGCCAAAAATTCAAAACAATCTAAATTTCTACCAGCTGGTAAAGGTGCAATAGCCATACAATGGAATATTATTTGGCAATTAAAAGGAAAAAAATGATGGAATGTGCTACAATGCGAATGAATCTCAAAAATGTTATGCTAAGTGAAGGAATGCAGAAATAAGAGGTCATGTGTTATATTATTCTTTTCATTTAAAATATCCAGAAAAGGCAAATCTGTAGAGTCAGAAATTAGATTACCTGGCTTTGGGATATGTTGAAGAAATTGATGGTGGGAATTAACAGTAAATGGACTAGATCATTCTTTCAGGGGTGATTAAAAAGTCCTAAAACAGTTTTATAGAAAGTTGCACAATTTGGTAAGTTTTAAAATATTGAATTGTACACTTTGAGTGAATTGGTATATATAAAATACACCTCACTATAGTTACTCCCCTGTGTGTGTGTGTGTGTGTGTGTAGCCTTATACATATAAAAAGCTAGGTTACATTTTGGACCAGAAGAATGAAAATGTGAATTTCATATCCTAAAGCTTGTCTTATATCCTCCACATTATGGTTGTTCTTTATTAATTGCATGGAGAAGCCATCTAAAACACTAGGTGTCTGGTGCCTTTGCTTTTTCTGGTGCTTTGCCCTTCTTGAACATGATTAATATTTAATTTTCCCTTCAGATGTACAGCACTGCATTTGGTTGATGCTAACAGGAAAGTTCATTTATATCATAAATACTAAGTAAATTCTAAGGCATTTGGGTTAAGCAAGGGCAAAATTAAAATAATACACGATTTTCCAATGAATTCAGTGTGTTTTCTACATATAGAGTCCTTTCTTATTATAGAAAATATTAGTTTTCCTAAATCCTAAAATAAAATGGTGAAATAACAGATGTAGTATGGGTATTATTTTATAACAGATAACATCCAATTTTAATTGAAAAAAATTAAGTTGCCTAAAACTTAATTTAAATACTATGATTGGTATGGATTTATAAAGCATATAATATTAAATTTTTTATTGACAAGTGAGGAGTTGATATCTCAAAAGGGAAAGATATGTATTTTAAAGTTTCATTCTGTAAAAGGGCAGGAGGAAACTTAGGAAGGATAGAAATGAAGACATTAACATTAATGTCTGACCTTTAAAAACGTACAGCTAGGCATTCAAATAGACTAGTAGTTCCTATGTTACCTTTCATACTGTAATCAAAATTTACAAGAACTGTTGGTAGGGATGACAAAGGAACAGAACAAATGAAAAATAATAACTTTAAGAGCAGATATCTGAAATGTGCAGTATTGCTTTGGCTAGAGAGTAAAAGATGTAGGATTTTAAAAACTCTGGACTGGAAATTTCATTAAAGCTTAACCACGTCATTGTATTAAGAGGAACCAAAACTAATTGATCTCCTAATATAAGAATATTTTCAGTTCAAAGCAGGCAGATATGTTCTAATAAAATATTTGATTACAGTCTGCTATTGCCCAGCTGCACCTTTCTTGTAAAGTCAGTGAATGTCTTATAAGCTAAATGAAATGTGTTACGGCTTCAATGCTTTGTGTTTGGGTCATACATGGGGCTGAGGGAAACCAGTGAAACAGATCAGTGACATATTAACCCAAAGTTGTTCATGGCTTTGTATTCAATGGAGCAAGGGCAAATAATAGTCAAGGAAGGAAGGAAGCCAGGGATTAGCATCTTGGTACTAAATGTCAGTTTCAAAGGGAGAGGCCAGAGCATAAGCAGACAATTCCCTAGGTTGCAAATGGGGAGGATTAGGCGCAGGTAAGAGAGATTCATGCAGGATGGACAGTAACAAATGTTTTATGTAAGAAATTGTGTGTCATGGCATCAGAGCAGTCTACTGGGATAAGGCACTATGCAGTACCAGGCAATTAGAATTCTGTTCTACTAGCTGAGTGCACAAGGGGCTCCTGACCTGTTTATTAGGAATGTAAAACTATTCATGGCAAGTATATATTATTTGCTTTACATTGGAATGATTATTAGTCTGACTTGACTGTGTTGTAGATCATGGTTTTGCTTTTGTACACAACCTGCTTCTCTAGAAGGTAGCTGCTATTTTTATGTAAGAACCTAAGGGACTTCTCAATATATGGTTCTTATACCCTGCAACCTATTTCTATTTCAGCCTGGACGGTTTTAGACGGTGCAGTCTTGCTCTATGGTGTGAGAAATGGCTGTAGGAAACAACACTCAACGAAGTTATTCCATCATCCCGTGTTTTATATTTGTTGAGGTATGTGGATTTTTAACCTTTATGGACAAACTGAAATAGTAGTAGCAGTTTTTATTCTGATAACTTAGATTATTTTATAAAATTATTTAATTTTATGGTTGATAATTCAATTTTGATGGCACAAATATTGGTAAAGAATTAATAAGCTATACAAAATGTTTCTTAAATAGGTAGTTATAAGAATGTTTTTAAACTTCACCTTTGGGGTACGATAGGTGTTTTATTATATTTCTTCTATTTTCAACAGTGATGTGAATGTTAACTATGAAAGAGAATGAAGCATTTTAATTGTTTATTAAAAAATCAATATCCTGTTTCAGGAAGTCAATAAACCAGGTATTTTACAGATTAGGTTAGTTCATGGTCTTTTGCCTTAGAGCCCAAATAAGGAAAAATAATCTTAGAGTTTACTATCTCCACCGGACATTCTCCTTTAGTGGGATATTGGGAGCTTGTGCAATGTGTGATTTCTTCTTTCCTGAATTACTTTGTTTAGTTGCTCTAACTTTGTGCCAGCAGTTTTTCCAGCATATTTTTGGTTAAATTACCTGAACTCATTTTGTACTGTACCTCTCTTTCTATGTTTGCTATAGAGGAGACCGAGACATAAAATTTTGGGAAATTTGGGAGGAAAAAAACTGCTTTCCAGGTAATCTCAAAATAAGATGTTGATTTGCCAGCAATATTATTGTATCTGCCTTATCAAGAAGACAGGGCGTGTAGTGGATTTTTTTTTATCTGAAAGCTCACACCTAAAATATGACAGCGTAAAGAGTTGGAAAGTAAGCATCCTGAATTTCCTGTCTTGGTAACTGCAAGATAGTCTCTACATCCCAGGAGTGAGCTGTAGCATATTCTGTGTTATGGCATCTTTTTGGCTGACTGTGAAAGAAAGGTGTGTTGATCCACTTTATTATCCATATAAAAACAAAGTTGAGTTAAACCACTATTTACATTAACAAAAATGTACTTTCAGTACATGTGTTGTTTATACAAAGCCTGTGAATCATTTAGACAACTTTTATGTTCTCCAACTTGAAATAACTATATAGTCAGATAATTTTGAACAGTCTGATTTTTGGCCAGATATATGGGTGTTTGGATAATCATTGAGTTTCACCTTACAGACATTGCTTGGTACTTTTAGATGAACAAATATTTCATAATGGTTTATTTTCTGGTGATATTTGAAAGCCTGTTTGTATTGCAGAATCATGTAAAGATAGGAGAGAAAGCTGGTGCAGATATGTTAATATAAACAAAGGTACATATAGACTCAATTTAAGCTAAATCTCTGAAAGGGTAAACAAAGAACTCATCTCTCAACAAGAAACACATATTCTTAATACTCTGCATTTAACTTGCTATACAATGCCAAATTAACTCCATTCAGGCAATAATGATAATTATATATATTGTGGTTTTTGGTTACTGTTCTTTATACTGGAATTGTGATAAAGGGAAAAAATCATTTTTCCTGCTGCTCATGCAAAAAGGTTAAAAGGTATACTAGTACCTTTTTCAGTGTTTGCTTTCTCTTTTGTTATATGAAAAATAATTTTTTTAAGTAGGCTGGGGAAGTTGGGGAATAAGTCATCCATCATCATCTTTATCCTCCCTGTGGCAATTTTATTTTAAATTTTCTTAAGAATCAAGTAGGAAGCAACCCTCAAAGTGAGACGTTTAATTTATTGCTGGAAGCTGTAGTCTCTGAAGATTTTCAGCTCTCTAATGTGTGAATGATGAGCTTTGCCGGTGAAGCAGCAACAAGGGAGATAAATTAGTTCTTCTGTAGCTTACCCTGACACAAACATAAATAGAAGTCTACAAATCTGGGAGAAGAAAGATGGTTTGTTCTTTTTCTTGTTGTATTGTTGTTCTTATTTTGCATGGAAGTTTAGGATATATCAGTGACCTCTCTCAGAAACAGGCAGGAAAAAGGGAAAGGAAGTAGAATACAGAAGAAATTGAGGGGGAAGGAGGTGAATCTCAAAGCGGCTTTCATGATTCTCATGTATTTCACTCATCAAACACTTATTGTTTACCTGCATTATTCTAGGTACTTTAACAAGGATATCAGAAAACTTGGTAAAAAAAAGTGTCAACTTGACCAATGAATATCTTTTTAGTGTTTTTTGATTATGAAAGAATTTAAGCACAGAAAATAAGACATCCCTGCACCTACTACCAGGACAAAAATCTTAAGTGTTTTCCATATCTGCTTCAAATATTTTTGTCAAGAAAAGCAAAATGTTACAGATATGGGCAAAATCCTATTGTCTTGAAGCCGGAGCCATTATATGTATGAAGTTTGGGGCTTCTTTTCCCTACATGATTCCCATGCATGTTTTATGTTTTCCTACATATGTATGTATTCATAAATAACATTTTACAGAAATGATGCTATGCCAGATCTTTCCTTTGCAACTTGCCCTTTCATTCAACATTATGTTTCTGAGATTCATCTATATTGGCAGTTCATTCATTTTAATTGTTGCTATTTATTCTATTGTGCAAATATATATACTGAGGGACGGTTTCATGCATTTGTTTACTTAATATGCTCTTTCACTGTCATAAATGTTTTTGCAGAAAATATTCTTATTTTTGTCTCTGCGTGCCTACATGCAAGAGCTCTCTTAGATTGACACATAGCAGTAGAATTGCTAGGGGATAATTATATTTGCCAGTTGTTTTCTGCTGCATTATAGAAGCAACCTTGATATTTGTATATCAATTTCTTTGAAGAAATTTTAAAAACCTTTATTAGTTTATGGGTATGTCATATAGCCTGTAGTGTTTTTCAGACAATTACATCATCTGTAAGTGGCAGCAGATTTATTTCTTCTTTTCCAGTTGTCATGTTTGTACTTTTTTGCCTTGTCTTATTGCTTTGGTTAAGACCTCCCCTGTAATGTTGGACAGAGGCAGTGGTAGAGAACATTATTGCATTGTTGATGACTTTACAGAAAAATACTTCAGACCGGGTGTGGTGGCTCACGCCTGTAATCCCAGCACTTTGGGAGGCTGAGGTGGGTGGATCATCTTAGGTCAGGAGTTCAGGACCAGCCTAACCAACAGGGAGAAATCCCATCTTTACTAAAAATACAAAATTAGCCAGATATGATGGTGCATGCCTGTAATGCCAGCTACTTGGGAGGCTGAAGCAGGAGAATCACTTGAACCTGGGAGGCAGAGGCGGTGGTGAGCTGAGATCACACCATTGCTCTTTAGCCTGGGCAACAAGAGCAAAACTCTGTCTCAAACAACAACAACAAAAACAACAAATTTTAAATGTTTACTATTGAATTATGAATAAATGTGGACTTTTACTTTCTTCTTGCTCCCTACCATCATCTAATTTTGGTTAATTTGTTTTAATCCCCCATTTCTTTCCTTTATTGGTTATAAATTAGAGATTATATTTCTATTTTTAAAATGACTTTTAAATATTAAATATATATACCTGACAACAGAAACTAAAGTTCATCCATAGCTCCATCATTTTCCTAAACGATCAATGACCATTCTTTGGCTACTTTGAGCTCCTGTATGTCATCCTTCATTTTTATGTTTTCCTTAAATTTTTCACTTTTTTTTCAGTTGGACTTCTTTGAATTTACCTGTATTCGTCAGTTTCTTTTCTTACTATTTCTCTCCTACTTTAATTTCCTCATGAAGTTTATCCTTTAGCAATCCTTTCAGCAAGTCTTGTACTGTCAATGCGGAAAGTCAAACTCTGAAGAGATCTATTCTGAACTAAATGAGTGGCCATGCCCTGTGACAGAGCCCTCAGGAGACCCTGAGAACATGTGCTTAAGGTGCTTAGGGTGAAGCTTGGTTTCATACATTTTAGGGAGACATGAAACATTAATCAAGTACATTTAAGACATACATTGGTTTGGTCCAGAATCATGGAATAACTCGAAGGGGAGAGCTTCCAGGTTATAGGTAGATTTTAAAATTTTCTGATTGGCAGTTGGTTGAAAGAGTCATTATCAATAGAAAGGAATGTCTGGTTTGCTAAGAGGTTATGGAGACCAAAATTTTATCATACAGATGAAGCCTCTACGTAACAGACTCCAGAGAGAATAGATTGTAAATATTTCTTACCAGACTTAAAGTCTGTGTAGATGGTAAATTCTGGTCAGCTTTTCCTGAATTCTAAAGGGAGGAGGGTATAATGAGGCATGTTTGACCCTCCAACCTTGTCATGACTTAAGGGGTTAAATACCCCCGCCCTTTGGTGCTTTGAAATTTCAATATAATATGTCTAGGTGTTAATTTATACTAGCTAGGACTTATTGTGTATCTTGAATATTAACAGTCGTGTTTGTCACTAATTCTGTAAAACTCTCAGCCATTGCTGCCTCCAATATTTTTTCTACAATATCTTTTTGTATCTTCTCATTCTTCCACTCCATCTCTTACCCCATCTTGTTGCTGTTTTTTAATTTCCAGAAATTCTATATGTGTTGTTAAAATTTGTTTTTATAGCCTCATTTTCTTTACTTATAATTTTGTTTCTGTTGTCTTTAGTTACGTTAAATGTATATGTTCTCAGTTTGTCCCATTATCTGAAATCATTGGCATTCTGATCCTCCTGTGTGTTGTGACTGAAGTCTTTAGCTCATGGTGGACTGTTTCCTTATATTTGTGTTTTTTGTTTAGCTTCAGTTTAGCAGAGCTTACTTCTTCTGTAAGGTTCATGTAGATCTTAGGTGTTGAGAGTATCACTTTGGAGGGATTTTGCATAACTGTTTGTTTCCCTAGGGTTTAACTTCTATATTTAGCAACCAAACTTGCAAAGTCTCACACATATAGTCAAAGTTGATCTTTTCTTGTAGTCTTCCTGTACTAGCAGGTGGATTCTATGGAACACTTTCAGTTTACCTGTGAATTGGAAGGGAAGGAGAGAGGAATACCAATGTAGATATTTGCAGTGGAATGTTTTTGTGCCTTTTTTGTGTCATGAATGCATTCATTCATTCCACAAACAC